ACCAATATCTGTCACAAAAACACAATGTCTGTTAAGGTTGCTGTTAACTTCCCTCTCTCACCTCATGAACCATATAAAGGGCTACTTTCTCGAGTACAAAACCACCTTTTTGGAAAGGATTCATCTACTCACATAATGTAGGAGGATTTCTTCTTGAAAAATGTTGCAAAGAACATCAGCTACAATGACCCTGCTTTTTCCATAGAAGCTCTCCTCTACCCCAAGACTATGTTCATAATTAAAGCTGTATGCATAGGGAAATTCTGTCCACAAATTTGTCAAGGATTCAGGATTGTTGCTTAGGGCTCTGGAGAAGTCCTCATTTGAGCTCCAGAGTTGGTGGACCTAAAGTGGCTGTAAGTAGAGAATGCCATCCTGCCAGACTTGACTTTTAATTTCAACCAGGTGATTGGAAAATATGACATATGTTGGATGGGTGGAAAGATATGATGAACCAAAACATATCTCACTTGACAATGGCTAACCCAGTACACCTTGACTGTTTGGGCTTGTAATTCTGCCAGAAGTAAATGAAACCTGCCTCTCTCATTGCTGCAATCAGAAATGTGTCAATGTGTTTTAAAATATATAATAATAGTACTGACCAGGCGAATGCTTTATGCATGAATTTGTAGAATCAAGTCTAGAGTTTATTGCTGATGTGAGTAATATCACCAGCCTTCCACCTCATGCCACTTGCTTTTCTAAGTCCTGTTGTAAAGCGGTCCATTGTGAAAGAGACTTTGTCTGACTACCACACTGAATCTTTCCTCCCTGACCCTCTTAAACGTCCTCCTCCTTCCCATTCTGCCATCTTCCTCTGTAATCAGACTTTACATGTCATATTCTTGAGAGTACAAAGAGGGCAGATGTATGTCTTTGACAGGAGTGGGTCTTTAATTCCCTAATATCTGATACCATCATCACTGATGTTTTAACATGCACAGACACAAATAATACACAAAAAATAAGTTAGGCTATAACATAAAACAGTGCGTTAGCATGCGTCACTGAACAATTGGGAAGCCAGGGAGTGCGCTACATCAGCAGTGACTCGTCATCGGCCGTAACACTACATCCAGTGGCCGGTCACTCATACCCACCTAACCTCCTACCCACATGTCCGTCCCACAGACCCCCTTTCCCATTTCCTTTCCAATCCAAATCCCAGCAGTTTGCCTTGCTAGGCCACCTTACTTAACAGACAGCCCAGCGGTCACTCTTTGTGTCTGACATGACAGAACAACAAGCCGCATCACATTACACTTCCTGCCCCCTTTGACAAAGGGAGAACGCCATAAGACTCACAGCACAGACCCCATAACCCAGTTTTCTCTTATTAACCCCAAACCTAGTTTTGATTTTGGAACAATTTTTTGTATGGAACACCGCCACAGGTGTGTTAAAGCACACACAAACACACAAAACTGCATTCGCTTGAAGGACTGTGTGTGTTCCATTACAATATGCAATGTTAGGAAGTCTTTTAACACTGCAAAAACTAAACTTTTGAACTGCGACGTAGTGACGTTCAGAGGCTGCGGGGCACAGCGAAACCATAAATATAACATAAGGAGCATAAAGGGTACTATTAGTCTTAAAGCTGCACTTCGCAGACAACTGTTTGCATTTTGAGGACTTAAAATATTATCCAAAAGAATAGCTTAAGGGGTGAAAAGTACAAAATATTTAACACATTTTGCCTCAACAGAGCTTTCTCTAACTGCTCCATTATATTTAATCTGAAGGCTTAGTTCACAACTTCTACTTTAGAAATGTTTGCAATTCCAGAAAATCATTTGGGCGAATAAGTCGAATCAATTAGTCAGAGTGGAACATTCTTTTTGGTGGAGCTACAGTGTGGGATTAAACCTCTGAATTGTTACATAAATGAACTTGCATCCTTGGATATTGTAGTATTAACTCAATGTTTAGGCCTGTACATCAAGTTCCTTTTGGAATATATAGTGACTCTTTTTCCTATTTATCCTTAGTCAACATGTGGGCACGGATTTAGCACCTGAAAGGACATTAAGAAGCCTGGATGTAAGATCTCTCACAGGCATCTTATCATTGACTGGAGCCAGAAAATCAGAATTTGTCAAAGGAGAGGAAGCCTTGAGATTTGCCGCTGGATGTAATATTGTTACGGCAGCGCTGTGGGCGCTGCTGGGGAAAAATCCTTTCAGTTAAAGGACATTAAACCTTCAAATAATTCAGAAGTAGTAGTAGTATCATTTTCAGAAGTAGCGCTGAAACAGTTCTATTAACAGTCTATTAACTGTTAGTCAATTTAAAGAAACTTGATTGGCAATCAGTTAATCTTTTGAGTCTTTTTTTTTTAAGCAAAATACCAAACAATCTCTGGTTTTGACTTCTCAAAAGTGAAAATTTGCTGCTTTTCTCTCTTTCATATCTTTGTAAATTGAATATCTTTGGGTTTTGGACTTTAAGTGAGACAAAACTAGCAATTTTAGGACATCACTTCTTTTACACATTTTCTAACATTTAATGCATTTGATATTATTGAAATATCAATGAAAATAATTGTTAGCTGTGATCCTCATAGATTGTAAATGTAGGGACCTTGCAGTTGAGACATTCTTGATGAAAATGATGCATTATGGGTATGTTAAAAACAGTCAATTAACACAATCACATTAACTTTAACTTATTTAGTAACATGGGCTTCACGTTTTGCCTTGACTTATCTTCTAGTATTCATACCAGTTAAGAATACCATCATCAGTGGGGATAGTAGTTTGTCCTCATTTCAGTTTGTTAGTAGTAGTAAAAGCATGAGCTTTTGCAATATGTTTCCACTTTTTTCAAACTTCACAGCAGTGTTGGAACAAGGCTGAGACAGTTATTTGGTGCCAGCACATTTTAAGTAGTACATGAAAACAAAACAAAACATTTCAGAAACCCCTTATCCAAACGTAACAATGGGAGGATAACAGTGGCTACAAAATGAAAATGCTTTTACTGTATGACCACATCAAGGCAACACACAACCATCAAATCATCTGTCAGCGCAGACTGCAGTTTAATGTGACGTCAGGGAAAGTTAAAAGCACTCTCTCTAACAAGCAGTCTCTTTCTCTACACTCACACACAAACACACCTACACACACACACACACACACACACACACACAGTCGATGCATTAGAAGAGACTGTGAGAGAGTTGGCAGGAAAAGCCACAGCTAGCAGAAAAATGCTTAATCATGCTTGCAATTATTGAGGTCTTTGTGGGCTACACGGTTGATCTGATGCATTGAGACTTACTTCATGTTGGGGTTTTTTCAGCATAATCCCAGTTACAGGTGTCATACTTCACATTGAAATAATGCTAACAAACGTACAAAATACCAAGAGTTAATCTCTTGGTGACCCTTAAGAACAAAATTAAAATGTGACTCCACTCTCTAGCATAACATCAAGGTGGAATGCGTAAAACAGTTTAACAGTAAGTCTTCACTGATTACTCTCTGGTGGTTCTGCAATGATGTCATGATGATCTCAGAATCAGTTGATGCCGTAGTGATTGCGCTCAAGCCTATTGAAACTTGGAGACACACACACTAATGGCTCATCATTGGTGGTCTGAAAATAGATTTGAATTTGAGTCTTTAAAGCTGTACTGCCAGCCCATGTTCAATAAAACGTTGGGTCTATTCCCATTTCATTTTCACGTCATTATTCGGACATCATGGTCTTTTCTGTCTGGCCAGAGGGGACATTATTTTTCCCCTACCAGTGATTAGCTCAGAAAGTATCTGCCCGGCTGACGTAATTGTTTGGCCTTGCTAGCTCTGTGGCTCAACGGATGTCGGTCTGTTGGTGGGTCAGTCCACCACTTTGGCCCTCAATGAAATATTTTAACTTTGAACTATTGTCCCTAGAGGAAGAATGCTGCTGACTATATATTTGATATATTTTACTGTGCATTTAGTGCTAATTAGCAAATATTTGTATGCTAAACATTAAACCATCAGCATTTTTAAACTTACCATTTGCAACATTGCCGTTGTAAACATGTTAGCATGCTAGTACAAATGGGCTTATTAGTGCTTTTCTAGTGGGTCACTACTCCATCAGATGGGGACAATAATTAATACTGTGAAAAGTGCTACAAATACTAATAAAATGAATTCATATAGACATATAAGTAATTTTGTTTTTAATTACACAAAGACTTTTTATGTTTTAAAGGGGTCATTGTAGAAATGTTACAATAACAAGAAAAAGAAACTGGCAGACTGAACCAAATGTACCAATTCAACCTTCTTCGACCTCAATGTGCATCTACCAGTTAGTTGAAGCAATTGTATTTAAATAAAGGTAGATTTAATTAATTAGTACTTTGTAGCAAAAATAAAACAAACAGCCAATACATGACCATGGCTTTTTGTGATGTATGTCAGTGTGTCTTAACATCAGCAATGAATTAATCTGATCAGAGTAGGTCAACAGAACTGTCTGCTGTTGGAATTCAGTGTCCAGCATTTAAGAAAAAGGGTAATCATCAAGGTTAGAGAAAAAGTTTGCGTTGTCGCCTTTATCTTTTATCCAATCATTCCCCACTTGAAGGTATTCTGCACACTAAGGTCTATGCAGTTTGCACTGATAAAAACTAGCATGTATAGTAATACACTGGTTAAAAAAAAGATGGTTGTGCTTTGTTTTTCTTCAGTATAACGGTAGCAATGAAGGCCCAGGCCAAGTGGGAGGTGATGGTCAGGACAGATGTCTTCTACACCGGCATAGCTCTCATGGTGCTGGGCACTCTGCTGGTGGTCAGCAGCTTCCTGGCTCTGGGATTCACTGGAACCTTCCTAGGTAGGTGTCAAACACCACAGTGTCATTTAAGCTTGACCCATTCTTGGGACTTGAAGTGAGTATATCTCGGCATATGCTGCTTCTGGAAGTCCCCCAATACTAAATCAGCACAGTACTCTTCCAAAGACCCTGAAAATCTGTTTCTCAATCAGCTTTTTTGATAGTATTTTTTGCCAAAGTTAACAGTTTTGGTTCCTTCACTTAAGACATTTCTGAGAGATTCTGTTTTGTTCTCAGTGGTTTTTAGTGATCACCTGGACCCCATGACATTCAAATTTGTGATTTTTAGTGAAATGTCTCAACGACTATTAGATGGATTGGTATACAATTTGACTAAACTAAAATGGTAAACGTAAACAACACACCCACTAAATATTGGCATGTAAGCAATGTCATTGTGAGTATGTTAGCATGCTGATGTTAGCATTTAGCTCAAGGCACTGTTGCAACTAATAACAGCCCTACAGAGCCCTACTATTGTCTTCATTTCATACCTATATATATTTTACATACTACATACAGTATATACTATATACTATTTAACCTTATTAATTTGTATTACTATTTGATAAGATGGCATACATACAGTAAGACAGCAAATTAGTGATGTGACTTGCTGTATTCTAACAAGGACATATAAGTGCACTCACATGTAGAAAGACACGTGAAGACATTAGTGCCAATTTAGACAGCCGTGTTCATTTCTATGCATGCAAACACTGTCCAACAATGTCCTCCCATACAGGACACACAAATGTCTTCGCATCTGCCTCTGAGACAAACATGTTTGTTTTCCTTTGTTGTGCCGTTGAGTACATCCAGGCATTGATTCAAATTAACACGAGTACGACATCACCATTATGACCATTTGGCAAGCTTTGGTTTCTTGTTTCTAGGTCAGTCATTTCAGTGACTCAGCTCCAAGATCCAGACTTTGTGTCTCAATCCTGCACCATCTTTGTCCATCACTGTACTGAAAGCCCATCAGTCCATCACTCTCTCCACTCCAATCTCCACTAATCTAGAACTGTGATGACAGAGTGGAGGCAGGTGGTGACAGGAATTGGCAGGAGACTGTGTGTGTGTTTGTTTGTGTGTGTGTAGTCTACTTTGTATGCGGATCAAGTCACAGGGGACCATGGTGGAGAACCTTTAGCCTGTTAAGCATGAGTGAGATTGGGAGTGACTTTTAATTAGGGATGTTACAAGAACCAATACTTCTATACCATGTCGATGCCAAAATTCAGACCGTAGGTACTGAAGTTACCGGGACTGCAATTCTTCCGATATACGGCTACAAATATTCAAGTGGGCCAATAAATGTCATAGACAGAAGAACGTGTTGAAGACAGCGACAAATGCAGCTGTCTTTGCCACGGGCAGGTCTGAGCTGCTGCACTGAGACAGAGAGCAGTGGAGAGCCTCACACTCAGTTTGTTAGGCTATTTTATTGCCTACTTTGTCATTTACTGAAGTATAATAAAACATTAGGGACCACTTGGTTGCATCAAATCAGTATGGAATATAATATGGAAAAAGTAGTGGAATTTAACTGGTATTTCTGGTATCATGACGTGCTTACTTTCAAGAAGGTTTTATGAGGTGCTTTGCATCAAAAAATATCTGAAAACTGGACAGAGCTACAGTAATCAGTGTGGAAGAAGTTAATAAACTCATGGCCTTTCCTCTAGCATTAAACTAAGGAAAAACCTTTATATATTTAGCCCCACTACTACAGTAATGATAGAAAATAATATCACTATGTTCAGCATCAAGCATTTCCAAGACCTTAAAAATATATTCTTTAATCAATCTAATATTCTTTTCCCCATCTCAATGTCTACTTTCTACCTCCTTCCAAAGCTTTTCACTATATCACATGGTTTTAAATGGCGAATAGCATTTTCTCAATTCTTGTGGTGATGGATTTTATTAAAATGCAAGCTTGTAGCCATTACATTCATCCATAGCACTTAAGGACTTTTTGTCCGTGTTTGGCCAACATTCATGTGTTGCCCTAGTAGAATGAATTTAAATGAATGGCCACTGAGTAAAATATAATGCAGGGTTATTTATCAAACATCCCACCTATCATCATTTAAAAAACAATGAATAAGCATTCGCACATTATCATCTCTCAATGCTGCAGGAAATAGCAGTTAAATAACAGAAAGGCCACTGATTAAATAAAAAAACTGAAAAACCCCTGTTGTGGGATGAGATCATTCATCCCTAAAACTGATATTGCCTAACCTTTGCTTTTCTCATTAGCTTTTTCCAACATGGTGATCTAGGAATTATTTGTGTGTAAATACTCTGGATAAGGGTGTGTTTATGTGCCTGCGTATGCGGGGAGTTTTGTGGCTCACCACAATCCACCTGCGCCGTGTTTCCTTTCCAATTCCTCCTACCGTGGGCACCCACTAACATACACACACATACTAGAGGATATAGCCTGTGGGTGTGTGCTGTGATTTGATGTGTCTTATTGGCTCTATATTAAGCCCCGTGAGTCATTGTGACCTGATGATTCAAGCTGATGGCACAGGGCAGAAACAAAGATCCAAACACAATCAAATTACAGACAGAGTGTTAACGTATTAGCCAGCTGGCCCAGGATCCAAACTCACAACCTACTGATCACAGACCCACTCCTCTTACCTCAAGCCTACCACAGTGATATCGCTACTCTTTTGCAAATCCAGGTTGCCCATTTTCATAACCACAATAAACGGTGATGCAGGAACACACAAAAAACACTTGGCTTTCAAATCTGAATGGGTTACCTGTTGACACTTAGCAGGTCAAAAGTGAAGTTAGCATATTGTTCTGTAGTCCAATTACAGCTAGTTTTCTATTCAAAACCAACAAATGTGTCTATATAATCTCCTTTTTTATCTTGCCCTACTTGAGTTTTTTAAGTAATCATACATAATGAAAAGTGTTATATAACTTGGCCATTAACAACCCCTCTTTGACAGAAAACAGGGCCAGCAGCACCACATGTGTAATTCAACAGGTCAGTTTTACCTACTGGAAGCCTCTGTGTGTGTGTGTGTGCATATAAGGTGAGGTATAAGGGAAGTATTTGAATGTTCCTGTATGTTTGTGTCCACACAATACCTGGGGAACTTATTACATTACAACAATATTCAGGTTACATTGAGCGGTGTCCTGCAGTAGTTCAGCTGCCCCCAATTTTGTAATTTGCTAACAACCAAAGAAACTGTACCTGAAACCACACATAAATCCAGAAACCATAGATTAGCAGAACCATCCAGGGTGCCATAAAATCACGCTCAGCACGTGGACAATAATAAAGCAGCCTACAATGTAAGGATAGTAGACATATAGATATAGGAAATTAGATATAAACAGCTCATTCTANNCTTATTTTCAGGTGATTATATACAGTACTAATGAAAACATACCTATAAATATTATATTATATCTCTGCCAACAGATGAAATGTCCTAAAGTCCTAAATGTTACACAGTGGACCTTTTGGGTGGATAGGTAATACTACGTCAGCTTGTTTATTTAGGATAGAAACGGTTTTGGACATTCTTGTTGAAACACTGTGCTTTCACTTCAAAGTTTTCACATGAGGTCATACCCATGCGGTCATAGTGTTGACATCAGTAACAGCCAGGTGATGGTGGGGCAAGCAGACAGTGTAGCATTAACAAGATGGTGTGTTGCCAAAGTCATGTTCCCAGGCAGTGGATCATCAGTCTGACTTCAAGTGTCTGCCGTTTGTCAGAGACATGTCAAAAATGATTGTAGCGTGACAAGCGGACCGAAATCTGTCTGGCCTGAGTTTGAAAGGAGACATCAAGGTTGATTACACAGTGGGAACCATGGCAACAGTGTGAAACAGTCCACCAGGTTTAGCACAGCGTCCCTGTCCACCTGAACTTGTTGATAAACTAGTGCCTGGAGACATATTTGGAAGCATTACATCCCCCCGGCTTATTGAATGCTGGGATAGGCTCCAGCCACCTGCATCACTGAAAAGGAAAGCAGATATAAAAATCTGTTATACAGTATGTTATACAGTGTTTGTGTCAAAAACAGACAACATTCTCTTATCTCAACCTGTTACAGCATTACCTCACTGTGTGTGTGTGTCTGTATTGATTTCCCAGGTGATTACTTTGGCATCCTGATGGATGAGAAGGTGACAGGTTTTCCCTTCAACATCATAGAGAACCCGATGTACTGGGGCAGCACTGCCAACTACCTTGGCCTGGCACTCATGTAAGTGTGTGTGTGACTGGAATGGAGGTGAGGTCACTTTCATAAATGTATCTGTGGTCAACAACAGCGTAATTTGAAATCAATGTGTCTGTGGATGTCTGCAGCTGAGATTGGCTTTTATAAATCATTATAGCAAGTTATTTTTACCAGTTTCCTTGTTAATCATGACTTGAGGAGTAGTTAACACAGAAATAAAATTCAATCAAAGAAAAATGACCCGCCATCTGGCTGGCAAAGAGCTACTGTGCGTCAAATTGTGAAAGTGTCAAAGTGAGGGCATGCAGAAGTGGCATAATAAGCTGCTACCTGCAAATGGAAAATGTTGTTTTTCTTCAAGTTGCAAATCACTCCCCTTTTGAAAAAGGTGGGAAGGTAAAAACTTTTATGTGTGCTTGTTTCTATGACAACTGTGACCACATTTCTCGGAGCCCAGCTTTCGTAGTTGCTAGGCGAGCGTTCCATGGTTGATGAGCCAGTCGCCAATAAAAGCTATTAGCCCCCCGTTCTCGCTCACACCAATTTATGTGGACTCCATTCCTAATCCCTCTGCCTCCATAGTCCCTTTGTTGTGACTAATTTTGCCTTCGAGTGATCAAACCAATGACTTCACTACCACCTCTTCTCCCGGTTTGTCTGTCTCTTCTTTTTCTCCCCCTCTGATGTTCAGTTGAGATATAGTAGCTGTCAGTCTTCGTCCCTTTGTCCCTGTCTGCGGTGTTCTCAGGATCTACAGAAACACGAATAAAAGCTCTAAAAATAGGCCCCTTCCCAATTGAACTGACACAAACCTGCTAATGTCTTCGTGTGCGTGTGGGTCTGCTTCAGTAATGTCCAAATCACTCAGATTTCTATGGCGCCTGAAGATGAAAAGCATCCCAATTGCTTTTTTTTGTGGAGCCGTTCTTATCTATGTTGACTGAAAGCAGCTACTGTGTAATCAGTCAGGGGTTGCTCATAATCACAAACCCACAGTTAGTCAAGTTATCACCCGACTCTGCAGCTACCCACAGCTGTGCAGAGCTTTATATAGTCTTTCAGCTCATTGTTTTGGTTTTCTAGCCCACAGTTGTTTTCATTCACTCATGTACATGTTTCCAGGCTATTTTCTCATCTAACTCAGAGAATTAAGAGTTTATTTCGCTCAAACTAGAGTAGTGAAGTGCGTTTTACGATTATCTGCTAGAATATAACTGGTATTGTCAATGGAGTCTGGTCGGCTGCAACGGTAGTAGCGCCCATTGTAACATCAAATGGCAGAGAGACAAAGTTAGCGACTACCTTGGCAACATAATGGAGCATTTAGCTGCTGAAGAGCCAGGCATTTTCCTTAGGAGTTGGTGTAGACCCAAAACAGAGCTGAAATTTCTTGTTTTGTTTATGTAGGTCATATAGAGGCATCAGTATTAAACGGACTACATTGAAACCAGTTAAAACTCCTTGCAGTACTTAAAAGTATTTTATTAACTATATTGTAAAAGCCATAAAACTGTCAAGGACATTCTTCACTGTGACTGAGAGTACGTAAGTTCTCCTGAAGGACTTCTGTCACATCCTCAAAGACACACAAAGAACACACTTTATGCAGCTACAACAGAAGGCGATCAGGAGGGAAAAAAATTATCCACGCAAAGACACACACACACACACCACTTCCACTCTCACAAGTTCCTCACTGTGCCAGACAATCTCTCCCACACATTAAGCCACTTACTGGCCTCTCCATGAGACCTGGACTAGAGATCAGCCGACACACTTTAGCAGATGCACTTGGACTGATATATGTTCACAAGCTGGACACATGTTGCCTAATAAATAAGATTGGAGCTAAAATTGTTACATGGTGCCATTCTTTATTGTGGTTACATATCATGTTTTTTTGCATGGAGCTCTGCTCCAGAAAAAGGACTTTCCATAGACAAAGGTTTTTTTGTCTCAGGCATGATTTTAACCCTATAATAACAGGCTATTTCTGGTTAAACAAAAGGTCTATCTCTGTAGGGATCCTTTCCATAATGTTGTCTGAGCATGTCAGTGGCAAAAAAAGAACTTTCAGTGGACATACTTTGACAGGCACATTATTCCCAAAGCATTAGCTAATGTTACATGGCAGCCATTGCAGCCTGTGAATGCAAACGCGGCGCACACGAGTGACGGCATCCACACCGTCGTTGCGGGACTCCAGACACGGCACCCAGACGCATTCATCGCGATATCTGGGGACGTCAAGCACATCACTCTGGCTGCAACACTGCCCACTTTCAAGCAGTTGGTGGACTGTCCCACCAGGGAAAACAAGACACTGGACCTGCTGTATGCCAGTGTTAAGGAGGCTTACAGCTCCACTGCCCTTCCTCCTCTTGGAAGATCAGACCACAACCTCATCCACCTGCAGCCCCTGTATAAGCCCCAAGTCCAGCGGCTTCCTGTGACCACAAGGACTGTGAGGAGGTGGTCGGAGGAGGCTTATGAGGCACTGCAGGGCTGCTTTGAAGTGACTGACTGGGAATTGCTCTGCGATTCGCATGGAGAGGACCTTGATGATCTCACGGACTGCATAACGGGGTACAACTTCTGTGTGGACAGTGTTGTTCCTACAGTGACTGTAGCTGTTTCCCCAATAACAAGCCGTGGGTCACCAGAGACATCAAGGTCCTACTGAATGAGAAGAAGAGGGCGTTCAGAGATGGGGACAGGGAGCAGATGAGGCAGGAGGTAGCTGGAGCACAAACTCCAGCAGAACAACTTGAAGGACGTGTGGAGCGGCATGAGGAGCATCACTGGCTACAAACCAT